GTGGTATAGGATGTAAAGGCTGTAGAAACTAACAGCTCTAACACCTTTGTTCATCTTGCATATGAGCTGAAAGCTTGAATGCCAGAATTACATAATACGTCATGTTGGGTGTGTTCCCTAGTCCCAGTAGATAGTCAAAGAAGTCTGCTTAGGGTTCCCATTTCCCTTTGTGCAATGAACATGACATGGACCCCATCTTAGAAGGATTCCTCAGGAAATCTAAACATTACTTGGGAAAAGACTGAGATTAAAAATAGAGGATTCCTGAATGTATGGAAAAACCCAGACATTGGTGCCTATTAAAAAGGTCATCTACTGATTCTGGTATGCTTGTTGGAATCAGTCAGTGCACTTGACATTTCCCATGTCGGGTCTGCTTATACTCTAACTGAGGATAAATACCAAATTATCAATGGTACAGCTGACTTTCTGATCCCTAGGTGGATAAAAGTAAATATATCATCCTGCATACCTTCCTTCACATACACCCATTATAACTGTTCCTCTCTAAATTGTACTCAGTGATCTCCTGGACCTAGCAACAAGTCTCTCTGTTTATGCTCTTATCTGAATAGTCCAACCCTACCCATCGGACCAGTAGGATGGAGTCTGTGGAACCGACCCTTATTTGGAGTGTACTGGGTGTGCGGTAACAAAGCATATTTAACCCTTCCTCCTTCATGGAGTGGATTCTGCTATTTGGCCTAATTGAAGCCACCTGTTGTTTACGGCCCTCATCTCCCCCACTGGAAAGATTAGGAATATGAGGGACGCTGAGACAGATGCTAAAGAATCTCACCCTCTTACTTGGCGGGCTGTGAATGATTGGACAGGTGTTTGTGCAGCATTTCCCAATGCTTGTGGAAGGGCCTTTTATCGAATAGGAGAAGGAGTAATAAGGCTTCAAGGAATTTTGGAAATAATGGCTAATACCACTGCTGATGCTTTAACTGATCTGGCTACTGAGCAGAAAAAAATCCAGCAGATGGTTCTCCAGAATCGCGTAGCACTAGACATTCTACTGGCCTCTCAAGGAGGAACATGCGCCTTGATAGGACAAAAATGTTGTGTGTATATTCCTGATGTTTATAATGCCACTTAGGACAGAGCAAACCATCTTATGCAGGTAGCAAAGGACCGTGAAAGAAAAAAAAAAGATTCCTGGTGGAGTGACCTGTTTAGCTGGTTTCCAAATAGAAGTGGTTGGCTCCATAACTTACTTCGTAGTGCTGTCATTATTATTTGTGGCTCGGTAGTTCTCTATGTCCTAATTCGTTGTGGATGTTAGATCGGCACTAAGGCGTGCTCCACCAAGCAGTAAATTGTTATGTGTCCCAAGAGTCCCTTCGTGGTACTCTAGGGACAAAGGGGGGACTGTTAGGCCCTAGAAAATTAGGCCTAGTGCAGTTATGCTAAAGCAAATGTAACAAAGATTTCTGGGTAGTCCCTGGGCAGAACTGGAGATAGGTTCAAGCAGGGATGCACCCTACACGCTTGCTCATGTTGCAAAATGAGATAAGTAAGAAGCTGCATTTTTGTACCTGCTGTGATGAAGAACAGTTTGTTTTGAGAACTGATAAGGAGACTCCCTGTTTGCTCTTCCCGTTTGTTCCAAACTCCCTGTTTATGTTCTCCTTTGGCCATAACAAACTGTCTCCTTGTTGCCCAGTACCTGTCTTTTGGGCTGATAAGAAATTGCTGATGCATTATGAATTGCTTAAGGCCATGATGTATAGTTGGCCAGGTGTGCATGGGTATTAGAGGTTTCTAACTGATAAAGGGGGGTTGGCTGCTTGGGCGAATAGTCTATGACGCGACGGAACTGTCTGTATAAGCCTACCTGTAAATGAAATCGGGGCTGGTTCACTTTGGAGACGGGCCGCTCTCTATTGTAAGTGTGCACTATTCAATAAAGAGTTTGTGATTGGATCTTGCTGGTGTTGCCTGTCTCTTTGCAGTCAGACAACGAACAGAGGCTGTCCGGGTTCGAGTCCCCGACAAATTCCTATTCCTATTTTGCTCACTCTCTTGCTAGCCAAGTATAAAGTTGATTCAGAGTGGAAAGGACGTTAGTAAGTCAAACCAAGAATGAACCAGTTTAAGAAGACTCCAAAGCCTTCACTCTCCCCAGCCAGAAGAAATGGATGTAAACAGAGGATTTCAAGCCCTTTTAACATGGTGCTGAGCCTCAGTGTCACAAGTGGTCATCCTTTGAGACTGGTATATCTTTTGGGAATAATTAATGTTTGGTGTATTGGCAAATCCTGTGTTATTGGCCTCTCTCCTGAGCAGGTTTGAAGTGACAAAAGATGGGGTAGCTCAAGTGGCAAAAAAGACACGTCTCATTTACTCATTTTTCCTGTGATAAAAATAAAATTCTCCTGTTTTCACCAGGGCCAATGCAAAAATGCAAAGGGTAAAATCCTGCCACCATTGAAGTCAATGGCAAACTCCATTAATTTCAATGAGATGGGGATTTAACTCAAGAATAGGGATGTAATAGTCTTGTTGATTAGCTGATTCGCTGATAAGCAAAAGCGTATAGGTTAATGCTATAGACTCCATGCATTTCTCTTCCCTTCCACCCCCCTCACTCCCTCCCCACCCCCACTCCCCCCCCCACCGCCAGTAAATTTTTTAGCAGGCTGGCTAGCAGCCCTGCTCAGTCCTGGCCTGTGATGGGTCTAGGACCTACCCCTGCTGTGGCTCTGCATTTAAAGTGTATTGGGCGCTGGGTGGGCAGGCAGCCCAGCTCAGTCCTGGCTCACACCAGGTCAGGAACTTACCCCTGCTGCAGCTCTGCATTTAAAGTGTATTAGGAGCTAGGCTGGTAGTTACTAGTAGGAGCCAGATGGGCAGGCAGCTCAGCTCAGTTCTGGCTCGCACTGGGTCCAGGAGCTCAGATCCTCTCCCAGACGGGCTGCTGCCACCGAGTACTGCTGTCTCTGTATCAGAGGCAGCAGCACAGGGCGACAGGCAGCTGGTCTGTGAGGGGAGCTGTTTTTTAAACTGGCTCCCCTTGCAAACCAGCTCCCACCTGTCACCCCACGCTTCACAGAGTGGCAGGGGGCTCCTTGGGAGTGAGGGCAGAGTGGCTGGGCTGCTGGCCTCACCCCCAGGGACTACAGAATAGTTGACTAACTGACAAGAATTCATGAGGTTACTCAAATATTCAATTAACCGATATTTAACATCCCTACTCAGGAAGTTTGAAATTTGGCATGGACATAGTCATCCTTGCAGAATTTTTGATCTCCTATCTTTTTCTACGGTGACTGTAGAGTCGTTGGTGTGTAAACACTAATGACAGTAATTGCCTCTGATGGAGAGAGAGGGCTCCGTCCTCTGTAGAATAAGGGGAAAAAGGGCCCCTTTCAGTGAGAGGTGTGTTTGAATGGTTCTGGGAGATGTCTTCTCCCATCCTGGATCTATGTTGCCTAGGGCTGGGGCAGTATGTCAGAGTTGTCAGCCGGGACCACACTTTGGGCATATGGATACTTGTTTAAGTTTTAGTCCACTGACTGTAACTTGGAATGGGAGGAAGTGACTCCACATCTCCCAGGACTCAAGGTGATGCTGTATATACACCTTTTGCTCAAAGTCATCCTGCTGTGCTCATGTATGCACACAGGCGCTTTAAGGAAAAGCACCATACAGTGTGAGAGTTAGCAATATTAAGTAACTGAAGGATGCCCCATGACAGCTGCAGTCCACAGTGTTGCCAGGCTGTGGAGGGAGGTACTGTGGGCTCTGCAAATGACCCTTGCCTTTAGTGAAGCTTCTGAGATTTTGGCACTTCACAAGTTTCTGTTGTCATAAAATGGGTTGAGCAAATATTGGTTCTCACACTCAGACAGGATCTTGTCTCTTTGTGGTATTATTTCCACCAGCACTCAGGGCAGGAATTATGACAGACTTTTTTATGGTGTATTATCATATTGCAAACTCGTATCTGTTCTTCGGTTGACTATCATCCATAGAGCTCTTGCGCTATTCCTGCTGGTGTCCCCCTGCCCTGAAAATCTAGGTTTGTAGTTATTTTTCCCTAAAGGTATTAAGGAGCATTTCTCCAGGTTGAATTTCAGTGTATAAGAAGGGTTAACTGTCCTAGCTGTTGCATTTATATTAATCTGTTTTTTCATTTTCCTGTTGACTGAGCAGCAAAGAACAAACACGCTTCCCAATATGCTAAAGACCAATTGAAGAAAGAGGAGAACTAGAAACAACCTTGCCAGGCTGTGTATTAAATGCAGACGTTTCAGTGGCGTAAAGCTACGGGGCTGTGCTGGGGTACAAATCAGGTAAATGTTTTATGTCTTGTTTTTATGTGCTATGATTCCTTGTATGAATTTGGGGTATAGACAGGAGCAGCTACCTCTCTTTAGTGGTTCATAATAGCAGAAGAAAGTTTTGGTTCTGATCACACCAGAGGCTACAATGAAGAGTCTGGGTGATAAACTCTAAGGGATTTTCTATAATGGTAGCTATAAAAGCTATGAATATTGTAATATATTAACAAGTATTTGGCTACTTTTGTGAGTCTTTATGTTACTGTAATATTTGTAGAAAACAGTAGCAAAGCTGTGGTGGAGGTTTGGTCTGTATTTGTTAGTGCACAAGCTTGTTTGAATGGAAACCTTTACTGGAAAGATCTATCTAAACTTTTTAGGGAATTAGTCAGCAAAGCAGCCATAAAACATCAAACAGAAGAGCCTCAGGCTGAGATATAGTTCTGGTCAATAAAATAACTTGTAAAATTTGGAGATCTACATAGATGGAAACAAAGGAGCTTTTTCTCTTCCTTTTAAGGAATTGAAGATGTTTGAAAACCCGTACCTTAGAGAAAAAAAAGAATGACAAGAGTGGTTTATGTAAATGAGGGAGCTATTTTGGAGATACAAGTATCAGAGTAATTATGTGTGAGACTCACTGGAGTCAACATGTAACTTGCATATTATATAGCTACTCTAAGTTGAAGTATATGTTGGTCAGGTAAAATTACCCAGGTCTTATGGCTCTCTTTAGACAGCTTATGCAGGTGGTGTAATGAAACAATTTAACCCATATCCATGGAGACTGGGGTTCAGAGGAAAGGCTGAGTTTCGGTGCTGATAGGACGGGTAATGTTGGTTAGTTGGGGGAAGCAACCAGAAGCAGTTATGCAAGTCCCCTTGATAACATGAGAGAATATATAGGCCAGATGTCAAGGCATTCCCCTAGGATATGAGAGACCCAGCTTAGATCCCTGCTCTAAGTGATATTTGTACAAACTGGAACAGGTCCAAGAGGAGTTATTGAGAGAGCTCCCACTCAAGCAGCATACGCACTTGAACCCAAGTCTCCTACATCTCACGTGAGTACCCAAATCACTGGGCTATTGGCTATTTTGGGGTGGTTTCCTTTCAATATCATTTTTTATGTAAAAGATTGAAAGGACTAGGTTTTTTTCCCCCAGTGCAGATTAGAAATGTTTTTGAAATCTTGAATTTTTTTGTGGAATGGGAAAATTGTTTCACACCCAGCTCTATTTCAGAGTGAAGTTCAGTTAGTTTTAACCTATAAACTCCTAAATGGTTTGGCTCCTGGTTACATGAGAGACCATTCCCTCTGTGAGATCACTGCTGCTGCAATCAGTGGAGGTCTTTGAACTAAGTACCAAACTGCCTGCTTTAAAAGAGAGGGACCTGGCTCTGAATGGGAATTTTTCTGAATGGAGACCGCAGCTCTGGATTTCACTATCCCATTTGCTCTGTCACATCCTGATCTTGCCTACTGCAATGCTCCTCTTTGGCTTTTGAGGAACAAGTGACCTGAGGAATGGTTTGTTCAGTTGATTGTGATGGGTCTTAATTTGCAGTGTTATTTTGTTGGCAAAGCTTAGCTATGCAAAGGTGTATCTTTAAAATCTGGATTTTAAATTACTCTAAACGTGCCTAGAACTATAGGGGTGGGTGCATTTTAAAATGGAAAGCAAGGAAAAGTGTTTTATTCTCTATATTCTTAATTTTTCTTTTGTTCTTTATGTGGAATGATAGTTCATTGCTTTACTCACCCACGTGAGTTCAGCTGAAGACAATGTGACAAAGCTGTTCTGTGGAGCAGGTTAAAGACTGAACATCCCTTTTCCACACAATTTAGATGAAAGTTACCTAATAACTATACAATTTGAACTATTTAAACCTGGCTTATGAGTGCATTGAGTCCAGGAATCACAGGATTCATAGGAGTTAGAGATAGGAAAGACCCATTATATCAGGGGCTCACAAACTTTTTCACATGTGGACTGCCATCATCACACACAGATTGAATGCCACTGCATACCATCCTGGTGGTGGTGACTACAGGAATTCCTTACATGGAAGAATAAAAGTGGCAAACATTTAATGTGCATTAGCTGCTAATAATGCAGCATAGCCATTGAGATCAAGAAGAACCCTCATGATGTGATCAGTCAGCCCTCCAAGCAGTGGACCACAGACCACAATTAGAAAATGTCTGTATTAGCTCATCCAGTCCACTTCCTTGTGGGATTGTTCTCTTCCGTACGCTTTCTAGTGCTTTGGCCAATCTAATTGTAAAAGCCCTCAGTGACAAGGGCTACATCTAGACTACAAGCCTCTTTCGAAAGAGGTTTTTTCGAGAGCGTCTAGACTGCAACCACTGCTTTTGAAAAAGCAAGCACCCAGGCACTCTGGATGCTCTCTTTCGAAAAAGCCCTGTTTTCATTCAAGAATACCTTTTTTCAAAAGAGCACTTTCAAAACAAGGCGTTCTTCCTTGAAAAATGAGGTTTACCATGGTCGAAAAAAAGCCACTTTTTTCGATTTAATTTCGAAAGAATGCAGCGGCAGTCTAGACGCAGGGGAAGTTTTTTAGAAAAAAGGCCACTTTTTTTCAGACAAAAACCTATAGTCTAGACACACCCAAGGTGTCCACCATTCCTCCTGACAGACTGTTCCACAGTAAATCTTGCTGTCAGCATAGACATTCAGCCTAGCCTACATGCACTGAGGGTCATATAATAGTCATAGAATCATAGAACACTAGAGTTGGAAGGGACCTCAAGAAGTCATCGAGTCCAGTCCCCTGCCCTCACGGAAAGACCCAGTACTGTCTAGACCATCCATAGTAGATGTCTATCTTACCTTCTCTTAAATATCTCCAGAGATGGAGTTTCTACAACCTCCCTAGGCAACTTATTCCAGTGTTTAACCATCCTAACAGTTAGGAACTTTTTCCTAATGTCCAACCTATTCCCCCCCTTCTCCCCTTGCCCAGTTTAAGCCCATTGCTTCTTGTCCTATCCTCAGAGGCCAAGGAGAACACTTTTTCTCCATCTTCCTTGTGACACCCTTTTTGATACTTGAAAACTGCTATTATCCTCTCTCTGTTGTCTCCTTTCCAAACTCAACAAGCCCAATCCTTTCAGTCTTCCTTCATAGGTCATGTTCTCTAGACCTTTAATCATTCTTGTTACCCTTCTCTGGACCTTCTCCAATTTCTCCACCTCTTTCCTGAAATATTCCACTTCCAATATTCTAGTCACAGAAGCTCAAATAACATGGTTGGCTGCACTCATTCACCACAACAATGATGAGCTGTGCAGAGTTGCTACTAACTTCTACATATGGGTAGAAACCATGGGTAGAAACCATGCTTTATATCTGTGGGTATCCACATCCACAGATGAGAATGTCCATATCTGCGGCTCATTTTTGCAGCTGCAGATACAAATTTTGTATTCACACAGGGTTGTATTTATGAGAGTGCACAGAGTCTACATTGTCTAGACCACCCCACTGGAAGTGGAACCAATAACACTTTTTTTAGGAATAAGCATTTGCACATCTAAAATGTCTTCTCTCCCCCCTCTCTCCCCCAATCCAGTGAGCTGCATGTTGGCTGTCCACCATCTGCCACTTCATTTCAGTGTTGGCCTATGTACAAGCTGAGGCTTCACATCCTCTACCATCGATGTTCCCAGGTGCACAAGGGGAGCACAGATCTCCATCTCCTTGGTAGTTGCTGCTCTGCCACATTATCGCTCCTCAGGGTGGGGCTGGTAGCAGTATAGACCAGAGAAGAGGAAAGTGCAGTAGCGCCCCTATTTTTCACAGAAGGCTAGTGTCTGCAGGAAGACAGAGCCCAGGGATTTTGGATGGTGTGGGCGCCCCTGTAAGCTCAACAAAACAGTGTCAGTTAAGTGCGTCTGCATGCTGAAAAGTCACTGGTTGAGTCTCCGGATCCTCACTGCCCACTTCTGTCCCATCCATAGTGGGGAGACAGTTGCTCCCCAGGCTATTAATAAGGCAGGAGGCTTTTGTGCATGCATCTGCATGGTTTAATTATAAATATTGTCCACAGGTCACTGTGAAAACAGGAAAAGATGCTGAAGTGTTGGTGTTTTTTCCTCTTGTTACATTGGCTCATCCAGCAGCTTGATGCTAACCCTGGGCTCAAAGTGAGGATCACGCAGAAAGGACTGGACTATGGTAAGTCTGATACTTCCATAGTACATTGCCGCAGACTTTATTATTATATTGAGCCCTTAATACCAAGTATAAGAATACCCTGAGAGAGAATGAGTTGCTCACAGCTATAGAGAAAAGGAAGATTTAAAGATAAATGTAAGAAGGGCATGGCTTGGTGGGAGGGAGAAGAGGGTTTCATAGATATGGCAGGGTATGTGAAAGAGCATCCCCTAAATACAGTGAAAAGGGGGTAACATTAGAAATCCCCTAAACTTGAAGTACATTGTGTAAACTTTTCAGCTATATTAGTGCAGCTGAAGAGGTCTCTGTACCCTTGCAGGCAAGGAGATTGGGCTGAAGGTCCTGAAACAAAGAATAAAAGACGAAAAGTTCCCAGATTGGAGTGGTCGGGAGAAATCTGGAGTTGGGGATGTGGACTACATACTTTCAGGGTGAGCAAACTAGGAAAGTGTCTTTTAAAACAATAACATGAAATAGCTCTTTGCAATATAGTGTCAGCACACTGGATGCTATCTTTGGTACTGTTGTTACAGGTTGTTCTGAAGATAACACCGTGTCATGCATTGCTTATTATTTAAAGGGGAAAGGACACATTTATGATTTGAGGCCTAAAACAAATCCTACTGAAGTCAAAGGAAAGACCACAATGCACTTTGGATCAGGGTCTGGGTTACTTGCCTCTGATTGGTAATATAGCTGTGAGAGAAAATTAAAAGTATCATGCTATCAGCATGATTTGGTCAGTTGTCCTGATGCTTGATTGACACCTAAGATGTAGTTACTGGAAATCTGCTTGACACAGTTATAGGAAAGAAAGAAAAAGGTAAAGATTGTATTCTACTGATTGATAGGAATCCTTGCAGGACATGCTCATATTTTCAGATGAATAAGTCACACTGTACCTGAAATACAAGTGTATGACCCCGCAGGTAAACCACTAACCATGATTAAAGATCTCAAAAAAAGAGGACAAACTAAGTCTCTCACACTTAACGCAAGAGATGCAGAAATTGTAGATTATTTGGAGTAATGAAAAGTACAAAATTAAAAATATACGAGACCAAACTTTCAAAAACAGGACTGACAAAGAGTTTTAAGCAAATATAGGTATGTAACTGTTTTGTTTGCCTTTGATTGCTCAGTTTACCTTAATTGCATGTACAAATCACAGACATGAATGCACAAAGGTCAGACAGATGTCTAGCTGATTGCTCATATAAGCATTTACCTAATTTGCATGCATACTTGAGCTAACAGTATATATGAAAACACACTGGCATTTGCAAATGGGACATCAGTCTTTGAAAATTTGGCAGATACAATATCTTAAAAAAAAACTACAGGAAGGTACCAGGTGTCTCTAGAGATTAGTAATAGATTTGGGTGAATATTGCAAAAGTTATTAGTGAACATTCATTCAAACATTTTAAATGAATATGCTTCAGCGATGATCATGCCTCTTTTGTCTTTGCTTCCCAGAATTAGTCAAGTGAATAAGATGATTGGCAGGGATATTCTCCAATAAAGCAGTTTGTAAATAGATAGGGCCCTACAAAATTCACAGCCATGCAAAATGTGTCAGACTATGAAATCTGGTGTCCTCCTGTGCAATCTGGCCTTTTGTGTGCTTTTACCCTATACTATACAGGTGACCGGTGTTTCTCAAATTGAGGTTTCTGACCTGAAAGGGAGTTGCAGTGGGTCACAAAGTTATATAAGTTAAGGGGGGTTGCAGCATTTCCACCAGTGACGGGGTGAGGTCACAGATGACCCCTTGGGGTGATTCCTGGGGTGCTGACAGGGCTACTTCCACCGTCTTGCTCTCTGGGGCTTCTCAATGCCCTGTCCTGCTGGGCCAGCTCCCTGGTCTCCCCGTGCCAAGGCACAAAACTGAGAATCACGGCCCCCACCAAGAAGCAGTACAGACATTCTGGTCCAAGGAGAATGCATTTTAAGATCCAGCTTCCTGGATTACCACTCCCCACATGGGATCAAACCCCAAATAATTAGTTAGGTAAGCTCCCTTTAACAAGGAAAGGGGGAATGTGCACACTGATTGCTCCCCCAGGTAATAATTGTTTACACTGGGCTTGATAGTAAGTAAAAAGTGATTTTATTGAGTAGTAGGATTTAAGTGGTAATAAGAGAGAACAGGCAGAGCAAAGTAGATTACAAATCAAAAGTAACAAAAATGCTTAGCTAATTCTAACACTAAAATCCTCAGCACAAACTTATTATAAACTCACCCTAAAACTGTTTCTGTTCCAGCTGCCTTCCAATCCAGGGTACTCTCCCTTCCCCTGGGGTCTCTGGTTCACCTTTCTCCGGTGTGTCCAGCCAACCAAAGACAAAAGACTCCTCCTTTCCTATTGTTTTTAAAGATTCCCTTATTGAATGGGGAGTCACTTGGCCCATCCCTACCATCCACTGATAAGACCTAAGGACAAAAGGCTATTTGTATATGATTGCCCAGACACTGAGGCCTCCCTTGATAACTTTCATTCACACATTTAAAACCCATAAAGTATTCCCTACTCCATGTGTCTAATTTTACGCACAAGAATGATTCATACACCAAAAAAAAAAAAAAGATAAACAGATCCATCGGATTAAGACATGAAGACTGACAGGTTACATGAAGTAATTTGTTCAAAGTACCTGTGAGTTATGTACATTTATGTCCATAAGTCCAGTTCATAAAGCATTGGGGCGGGGTGAATCGTCACACCACCCTTACTTCAGTGCTGCCTTCAGAGCTGGACAACTGGAGAGCAGTGGTTGTAATGCTGGCCAGGTGCCCCACTCTGAAGGCAGTACCTGGCCAGGAGCAGTGCAGAAGTAAGGGTGGTGTGACGGTTCACCCTGCCCCAATGCTTTATGAACTGGACTTTATGAACTGGACTTTCAGAGCTAGGCAGCCAGAGAGTGGCAGCTGCTGACTAAGGGCCCAGCTTTGCTGGAAGCAACCTTCCTTCTGCACTGCTGTGGTGAGCTCTGCCTTTAGAGCTTGATTCCTGGCAAGCAGCTGTGCAGAAGTAAGTGTAGCAATGCCACAAGCACATACAATAATCTTGTGACACTCCCCACCCCTCACTCTTTTTTGGGTCAGGACTCCTGCAATTATACCACCATGAAATTTCAGCTTTAAGTATGTGAAATAATGAAATTTAACATTTTAAAAATCTTATTACCATGAAATTGACCAAAATGGACTGTGAATTCAGTAGGGTCCTATAAATAGATGTTGCGAGAACAGTCACATAACATGAATTCAGAACTAATAATTTCAAAAAGTTGCACTAGAATCTTGATTCTAAGAGATGAGACACATTCATAGACTCATAGAACTATAGGACTGGAAGGAACCTCAAGAGGTCATCTAATCCAGCTCTTCATGGTGAGGGAGGACCAAGTAAACCTAGACAATCCCTAACAGATGTTTGTTTGACCTGTTCTTAAAAACCTCCCATGACTGGGACATTCATAATATTCATTTTAATTAGGAATTGAAAGAGGGCACAGTTCAGTCTAGTGCCGGAGAGGGACGTTTCTGCCCTGTTGGAGGGCTCTGCTTTGCTTCTGAGAATTTCTGACTCTCTGAAGTTTGACCCTGAATCAAGTTTAAACTTTGATTCAGATTCTCATTTGCTTTTGGAATGCAAATTAATATCTTTTTTTCCTCCTTGTATAGGGTAAGAATTAACACCATTGAATTCCCAGATGCTTCTGTATCCCTCATACCAGGGAGTGGGATTAAACTATCAACTCAACATGCTTATGCAACCTTCAATGCAAACTGGAGTATAAGGACCTGGTTATTGTAAGTATAGACTTGTGTATCCCAAGTATTTTCTGGTGTAAGAATTGAAGTGGAAAATACAAAGTTTAGTAACCAATGTCTCTTTTTCCAAGTACTTGATATCAGTTACCAACATCAGATTGATAGCAAACACCATCATGTCTCACAGAGCTCTCCAGTGCGAGACATTCTCTTCCAGTTAAAATTGCGATCATACCACAGATACGGCTGCAACTACCTGGCTGTCTTAGCATATATTTATCCAAGCTTGAAGTTACACCTCCAGGTCCAGTGCAGGCATACCCCAAGAAGCACACTGTGAAATCAACAGCCTAGAGAAAGTGGAGGCGAGTGACTTTAAGCCATCTTTATACCCCGTTGCTCCTGGACTTTTCTGGGACTAGAGAACCCCCCAGGACTATCTAAATGACTGTTTACTAAGTAACACTGTGGGCGAACACTTGTGACAAAGTGATCATTCTATATCAGACCCATCAGTCCTTTTCCTCAGAGGAACCTGCACAACACTTTTATAAGGCCAGCCAGGGAGCTTTGTCTTAAATTCACATCTTCGCTTTCTGAAAATCATGCTCTGAATAGACACACTGGATTTATGGCTTATTACAACCATCTGTGACCCACTGATCATCCGCCCTTCCCCCAGCTTCATTTCCTTCTGGTAACTAGAGGTTATCAGGCAACTTCACCTTGAAATGCGTGTTATGTATTTACACGAAATAATCTGTTCCACGTCGTATTGAGCTGTGACGCTCTGAGTATGTTTCCCAAATCTGAAGAGCTCTATGTAAGTTCGAAAACTTGTCTCTCTCAACCGAAATTGCTCCCATAAAAGATACTACCTCCCACTCTGTCTCTCTACCTTATACTATGTAAGTTACTAAATTGTGGCCACCTCCATTTCTAAGCCCACCGAGGGGGAGGAATTGCCCCAGGCCCAGGTGATACAAAAGGACCCAGACTTCTCAGTTGCCAGCACAGCTGGGCTATGTCTACACTGGCCACAATTTCCGGAAAAGCCATGCAAATCAGGTAAGTCAGGATAGGGAAATCCGCGGGGGATTTAAATATCCCCCGCGGATTTAAATAAACATGTCCGCCGCCTTTTTTCCGGCTTGGGGAAAAGCCGGGAAAAAAGCGTCTAGACTGGCGCGATCCTCCGGAATAAAGCCCTTTTCCGGAGGATCTCTTATTCCTACTTTGAAGTAGGAACACCATCATGTCTCACAGTGTGGCAGTGGCAGCAGCTGGAGCTCTAGGCTCTTTAAATTGCTGCTGGAGCATGGTACTGCATGTCCCAGGCAGCACTAAAGTCTGCCTGGGACAGGCACAATGCTCTCCAGGTGGCATTGAGGGCTGCCTAGTCCCAGCTCCACCCCTTCTGGGGGCACAGAACATAGCCCGCACCTTGCCCAGGGACCTGGCAAGGCTGTCGGCCTCTGGGACCATAACTTCTGTTTTCAGATTAATATGTCACAGTACTGCATCCAGCAGCCCTGTACACAGCAAACCACTCCTGCCAGAACATGCCCCATACACCATGGCTTGCAAGATGGGGCTAAAAGGACAGCTTCATGGCTGACTTTCTCAGTGTCTACACTTGCTAACTATGGAACTTCTAGTGCTCCTTTACAGTACTCTGGCCTTTTTACCCAGTGACAAAGAGGTGGAACTGAAGTGAGCATCTCACTCACTGTACTTGCTAACTTTCCAGTTACAGTACTATTTGAGTTATTTACACAGTATTATACCTTTGATTTGCTTCTTAAAATACACACATACATACACTTACTAGAATGCAGGTATATTAATTACATGGAATTGGAGTGTAACCTTACAATCCAGCCCCATTAAAAAGCACCACATTACTGTTAAGGATGTTAAATGGCAGTTAATCAGCTAATCGACTAGTTGATGGAATTCCCATCGACTAGTTGATTAGTTGATAACGGGGGGGGGGGGGGACGGACTGCAGAGCCACAGTGGGGTTAGCTCTAGCCCTGGGAGCTAACCCCGCTGCAGCTCTGCCTTTTAAATGTATTAAGAGCCATCAGACTCTTAATACATTTTAAAGGATGAAGTGCAGTGGGGGGACCAGGCGCAAGCCAGGAATCAGCTGTCCCGGCTTGCGCCGGTCCCCTGCTACGCCTATGTCCCCCGCAGAGATGGTGCTGGAGGGGAACCGGCTTTTAAGCTGGCTCCCCCCAACACTGGCTTCTGCTCCCCCCCTTCCTGCCTCTGTCTGATAGCAGCAGGAGTGACTAGTTGAGTCATTAGTCGACTATCTGATAAGTATTTGCTTATCGGATAGTCGACAAGTCGCTTATATCCTTAATGACTGTGTTGCCTCTGGAACAGACTATAAACCAGTGTGTGACACCTCACAGTTAAGAGATTTTTCCTAATATTCAGTCTGAATTTTCCTTTTCTACTCCCCACATTCCCCTCACACACCAGAGCCTCAAGGCCTAGGCTAGTAAATTTTGTGTGCTCCTGCTCCGCAGTAGGGCTTTGCGGGGAGGGGGAAACTGGAGCACCAGCGCAGGTTCCCCAGTGCTGGGCAGAGCCTTGGGGGCCAGATCCAGGCAAGGTGGATGCCATATCTGGCCCTCAGGCCTAAGGTTTCCCACCCCTGCTTTATTTGTATTCATACCACAGGGGGTCACCAAGTACAATTCATCTTCCTCCTTGCTGTTTACATTCTTAGAATATTTAGATTGTAAGGGCAAGGATTGGTCATTTCATTTTTACTTGTCTATAAAGTGCCATGCATATGTATTGCATTGTATAAATAATAAACAGATACTTAATATAGACATTTATCATATTCTTCTTGGCCATCATTTTTCCTGATCTATACATTTTCAAATTCTGTACTCATTCCTCCTAAGCCAGTCCTTACGATCTATATTTATTACCCAGCTTTCAGTTCCCTTCAGTAAATGGCTTTAGTGTGTAGAATCACACCAGGTTGGACTCCAGGCTAAGAAAAATTTATTGCATTCTACAGAAGAATCATAATTTGGCATGGATTAGACATCTCTGTAAAATTGTGACATTTGGCAAACTTGACAAATCCAACATCATTCCAGCACTTGGACCTTGCAGATTATTGTGTGGAACCTGATTCTTCATAGGAACTACCTCTATAGTCATCTACTTTAATCATTAGAGATAGGCAAAACCATCTCCTTTCCTTTTCAGTGAAAGAAACAGTCTCTTTGATCCATTAAATTTTTCATTGTTCCCTGTAAGTAGACTTTACAGCTGAGTTTGTTTTTTGTCTGTGCAGCAAAGACAGTGGAAGAGGTACAGTGTCCATTTCAGGAGTGTTTATTACAGCAGTCTTCACCATGTCGCAAGACAACACAGGTCACCCATCAATGTCACTTGATAGCTGCCAAATGAGTATTCGGGGTATGGACATCAAACTGAATGGAACAATCAGGTAAGTGCAAGAGATTTTATACACTTTAGTGGAAAGTAACCGAGTTAATGGTACAAGGCCCACTTTTCAAAATTAGTCACCCAGATACATTTTTAGAAGCCTGTGTGCTATTGCAGCACCAATATCTAGAAGGTGGGTTCTAATCCAGGTCCCCCTGTTTGAAAATTAATCTTCTCAGCCAAATTTTCAGAACGTGATATTATTTTGCAAGTGTGCAACATTTGCCATGTGTGTACACAAAAAAAGATAGAATTTAAATACACACACTATGATTTTCACAAACAAATGCAGGTTAAAATGGAGTGCGTGTAAAGTTTATCATTAGTGTCTGTTGGTGGGTGATAACACAGCACAAACTGTAATGCATAGGTTTCTTGTGCATGCAAAATTAGCCATGTACAACTGGAGGCCAACTTGAAGGCCCTTTGAAAATGTAGCCCAAACGTTGCAAGAAGCTTTCACTGAGGATTTAAAGAAATGCCATTCAGAAGGGAACAGACACTGGTGGTACTGCTTCAGTCATTTGGTTTGTGCTGGAGCCCTTTTTAGATAGTGAGATAGAAGGCATGGATGAATGAGACGTTTCACATGCTATTTCAAGATTAACATTCATTTTATGGGTTATATTCTAATCCTCAACCATAGGTGAGAATGAGAAGGCCTGACCTATACCAGAGCCTAGGGGTGGTGCTGAGGGTGGTGTATAGGGGTATAGCCACCCCAAAAATTGCCTTAGCCTTCCCCATAGCCATCCCTTCCAGTGCAAAAGTCAAACATTATGCAGATACTTCTCTGCGGCTGCTGACAGTTCCACTACCTTCAGAGCTGGGCTCTCGGCCAGCAGCGGCCATTCTCAAGCTGCCCAGCTCTGAAGACAGCATCTTTTGGCAGTTTTCAGATTACAGACAGGTCCAGTGTATACTGGGGTTTTATCCTGGTACAGGTTATGTTGTGATACTAGGGCCTATACATAAATTAATACAACACCTATTAGACTGGTCTGCTAGGATATTCAAGTTCACGCAGGTCCAGTTTATACATAGAGGTATACTAGAAAATTTACCCGGCATTGCTCGGGTCCTTAGATCAATTAATTTTTGTTTTTCTTCATTTAAATCATTGCTCTGCAGTGGGGTAGGAGATGAGGGGTTCTGTATGCAGGCAGCCCCGGGGAGAAAGGACAGCCCCAGCCCTCACTCACCATAGTAGCTTGGGGCCAGGTGAGAAGTGTCTCTCCAAGGCTGCTGCAGCTCCAATGGATACAGCTGCGGGAGGGGTGCATGTCCACCATCTGGGGCAGGTCCAGGTTCATTTGCTCCCTGCATTCCCCAGCCAGAGTGAGGAATGCAGCAAACTGTACTTGCCCCTCACTCCCTGACAAAGGGGAACAGCCAGCAGTATTCATGTATGAATCAGGGGAGGGAGGAACTTAACCACCCCCACACACCATCATTAAAGGGTTGTTGGGGAGGATGGGAGGTTTGGGTCTGAAGCAGTCCTGGATTGGAGGGGAGGCATGCCCCCAGCAAGCCCCTTTCACCTGCCTGGTGATTCTGTCTATTTTCTGTATGGTTTTATGCATACCAGTCCCCTTCCAGGCACATCCCATTTTATGGCACAACCAAACTGTGACCTTGCTTTTAAGTTATGACAAGATAGGGGTGGGCAAGATACCTCTCGCGGGCTGGATCTGGTCTGCCAAGCAACCGGATCCAGCCCACAGACACCCTGCCACGACTTTTGGGCATGCAGCAGCCACTGATTTAAGTGCAGGGCTCCTCCGTGTGGCTCTGTGCTCTGAAGGGAGGGGGAGGCTTCATGTGAAACAACTGGCCAATAGGAGCTGAGAGACTGGCCTGAGGGATGTGGGCAATGCAAGGCTCTTAAGTTATGACAAGATAGGGGTGGGCAAGATACCTCTCGCGGGCTGGATCTGGTCTGCCAAGCAACCGGATCCAGCCCACAGACACCCTGCCACGACTTTTGGGCATGCAGCAGCCACTGATTTAAGTGCAGGGCTCCTCCGTGTGGCTCTGTGCTCTGAAGGGAGGGGGAGGCTTCATGTGAAACAACTGGCCAATAGGAGCTGAGAGACTGGCCTGAGGGATGTGGGCAATGCAAGGCTCTCCCACCTCCCGGAGCTGAGAGCCACCTGGAGGGAGCAGCCTGCAGTTTTAAGCAATCTGGGGCTACAGCAGGCAGGGAGCTCAGCCTGCCTTGTCGATGTTGCAGGGTTGCTAGCCGGAAGAACTTTAGGTAAGCACTTCCCAGCCAGAGCCTGCCTCTGGCATCCCTGCCCCTCCCACATCCCAACTCCCTCCCCCAGGTCACCATCCAAACCCTCTGCTCCCCTGTTCATAATTCCATCCCAGACTCTGTATCCCCTCCTACACCCCTCCCCCAGGCCAGAATCCTCTCCTGTACCCAGACCCCCTCCCGGACCCTGCACCTCAATTCCCTGCCCCAGGTCACAGCCCCCTCCTTCACCCAGACTCCCTTTCAGACCTCTCACTGTCTCCTGCACCCCATTCCCTTACCTTATATGCCCTTCTGTACCATCCTAGACCCCGCACCTCCTCAACAAAATAGTGCGGCCCTTGACCACTTTCCAAAATCTTGGAGTGCCCCCCCCCCAGCAAAATTATTGCCCACCCTGTCATAAGAGGAAGTTGTGTACCAAATTTGGTAGTCCTAGCTCTTACATTTAGAAGAAGTTGTTGAACAAACAGACTCACAGACACATCCACAGACAGACAAACTCTCTAAAATATATAGTAGATTAGAATGTATAACACTCAATTACTATAGTGTTCAGCTAACTGAAGCAATGGCTTTTCTCTTCTTTTTCTTTTCTCCAGCTGGCTCTATAAATTCTTCATTAAATACCTGGAGAAGCCCATTCACAGGAGCTTACATACACACGTAAGTTTTTATAAATTGTTTAAAGGGAGAAACTTAAGGAACACATGAAACTGCATCATCTCAGAGGCAATCTTGAACTTGATTAAGGAATAACCTGATAACTAGGAAAAACTACAACCTAATTCTGTACTGACCAGCACCTTCAGCAGCATCAGTTTGCAGGCACCAACTTCCAAATAAACTCTAGCAATTCTTGGACATGGCAATAGTCACCATCGGGTCAGGTTCTCCCTCTGGCTGACTTATACAACGGGGCTAAGTTTCTATGGTGATTTATTATTTTTTACACTTACACTAGAGGTGAAACTAAGGGACCCGGGTTGCAATAGGACAGTAACTGTAAGAAATGTTAGTTACTAAACACATCTTTGTCTGTGTACATTGTGGTTGTCAACATAGGTGTGTGCAGCACATTTCATTAGGGTGTGCATCCAGGGAATTTTTTTTTAAAGGCGAAAAGGACATGCTGCGAGCAAATGCGGGCTTTCTATACATTTCTACATCCGGCGCTTATTGCATAATACAATAATCCATACTTTAAAACTAAAAGAGCATATCATGCAATTAAATTAAAACGCAAAGCTACTTTTTTTTCTGAGACATTAGGGTGTGCCTGAGCACACCCAGCACATCCCCTGTGCACACCTACGGTTGTCAGTTAAACTAGATACAGCATAAGGGCCTGCTATGAGAGAGTGAGATAATCACAGTTATTTGAGAAGATCTGACTTTCATCCACTGGAAGGGGAAGAACACAATATATACTAGCCAGTACGTAATTTGTTGTATTTTTACACAGTCGTGTCCAAACATCAGACAAGGGATCCAGCGGATTGATGCACAGCTCAGAGCACTTCAGGGTGAGTCTGTGATGCAACCTTTATTCCTCATCTCATACTGTTCAGATGTTGCTGTTTTCTTGTCAGTTGCTGTCACAAATCTCAGTTGAGTTTCCCCTGCTAGCACTGTCTGATGGGCACCCAGCAGCTGAGTCCCTGGTTGGGTTAAACATCTCTGGATCTCAGCAATCTGCAGTACTGTTTCTCCTAGGCCTCTCTAGTACATTTCTTGGGCCCTGACTCAGCCTGCTACTGGCAACAGAGCCTCATAGACACTCAGAACCAGAACTGATGCCCCAAGATACCGCTCAATATTTAAACACACTCTCTCTCAGAACTCCATCAAGAGGTGTGAGCTTGCTGGCTAATAGTTTATCCTCTCAGGAGGCACATGACAGTTGTGAAGCACATAACACACACAGAGACACCATTCACATTGCTCATCCATTTAACAGATAGAGTACAGCTCATTTATAAAACAACAAATGCATTCCACTCCCCAGCAATTCCTCCCTTTGGAAATCTTTGGAGGTCCATCTGTGTTTAGGAAGGCAGGTTCTACTTGTCTCATCAGCATACTACATGTAGCTCTTCTCAGCTTAAGCTTGTGAAAAATGGTAAGTGAAGACTCAGAAAAGAGTATTAGCTACTCTATTTTATAACCTTCCAGCCCCTTTGTACGGGATCTCCTGGATCAGCCTCCCTAGTCGATCAGAAACCCCTGTCAGGTCGCCCTATAAACCTGTTCTCTTTGGGCACCAGTTTGTTGTTTAAAGCTATTCCATTTCAATGGCAGAGCATTCCAGATGTAGATCTTCTGTTATCAGCCTTGTACCACTACTGTGATGGAATTTCAGCTGAATAGGGAGTGAAATATATCATAGTGAAGGCCAAAGAAGCTGTACACCCAAATCAGTGGGAGGTAGGCACCTTGCCTGCTGTTTAGGTGCTCCAGAAAATCCCATTATACCCCATCTGCTTCTTTAGATGTCTACAAACCTTTGCATATCTTGCCTTTGTCTATAGTGGCCTAAGCCTGCCAGTTGCTGTTGCTTCCTGGGAGATGCTGTATGTCTTCAATTATCCCTGAAGACTAGGAGTTCAGGGTGTTCTGTATCTTGAAGGAGGCACTCAACACTTTGCAGTGTTGAGCCCAAATTGTGTAGTTCTTACCTTGCCATGATATTTTAAGAGTCCATTTTTCCCTGTCTGTAAGCATAAGACTTCTGTTGAAACCAAGCAGACTCATAGGATATGATCAGAAGTAGTTGAAAATGTCAGGAAATGGCAGTGCCCCCCTTCAGTTTTCAGGTGTTTCTCACAAAAACAGAACTTGGGGAAAGTAGTCAACTAACAGTTGGGTCAGACAGGAGGAATGTTAGGTCTGAATCACTGCTGGTCAGTTTCCAAAGGGAACACCTAGCGTTCCTAACCACAAATATTTGTTTTGATTTTTTTCCTCCCTCCTTGTTTTGAGCATTTTCTTGTTCAAGAACTGTATTTGCTCTGACTTAAACGTTGCTGGCAGTGTTACACTTAATAATTGTTTGTTTTGTCTACCACATTTACAGTCCCAACCCAGATCGATGCCTTTGCACAAATAGACTATTCCCTAGTTAACTCTCCAGGAATCTTCCAATCGTACATTGATCTGGACTTAAAGGTAATTGCCTTTAATGCTAGCTGTCTGGAACTGTGCTTTTTAAATACTTTTTGTCCTTTCCAAAGCAATGTCTCATTTGGGTTGGGTTTTTTCCCCAACAATTCTGTTGTAAAGACAGGACATGGTGTTTAATAAATTAGCATCACAAGTGGTTTTGACTCTGTTGGTCAGTTATCCGTAGCATGTAGAGAGCAGTAAAAGAAGACTGAGCAGGTTAAAAGAAAAAAAGATACAGTGTGTATCCAACCCTAGGAGAAAAGAGGGAAATAGGTCACTGGGGCCTGATTTCAATGGGAGTTGTATGAATTACAAGGTCTGGACCTTGGAACTAGAGAGGGAGAGTGTTTATATTTTAGGAGTGATGATTAAGTAACAAATCCAGGAAGTAGACAAAGAGAGAGAAAGCGCTCTGGAAAGAGAGCAAGCCAAGTCTGAAGAGCACTGCTGAGACTCAAGCCCCTGAGAATGTCCTTCAATTGAAGGAAACAGGAGGGAAGGATAATTCATCCTGCTTAATGTAGTGCTGAGCAGTAAGGGTTTGTTGTCATGCTATGTAAAGGGTAAAAACAGTTTAGTTTTACTATGTGAATACACAGTTTGTATTTTTAACATCCCGAGTATATTCCCTTTTTAAAAAATCATTTAAAATTTTGTCTTCTAAAAATATAGGTTTTTTTCTTTAAAATATTCTAGTGTAAAGCCAAGAAATACGGGTCATCGGCAGGTGAGAATGAACCTGTGACCTGAGGGGCTAAAGCCGTGTGCCTCTGTCTACTGCATGAACTACAAGTCAAACGGCTCTCAGCTAAGGCTGTAGAATAGACTTCACTCTCCCTTGTCAGTAGCCTCAGTGCCTCTGGGTTACACAAGTTTCAGAAATATTCAGCACTTCAGAGTTGAAACCGTCACTATTTCTCCTCTGGCTAATGTTATAGTTAGTGCAGTAATTACCCCAAGTATATTTGGCTGTTTCTTCTTTCTACATCACCTGTGCTCCTTGCCTTACACGAGCTATCAGTTTGTTTCTGGATGCATTTCAAGGTGTTGATTTTTATCTGTAAAGCCCCATATGCATGGGGAGCTGATAGCCTGTGCAAGCCCCTGGACAAGGTGTGTGTGTGGGGCGGGGAGGGGCTGGCTTTGTGCTCCCAGAAGAAGTGAGGCCTTGGGTGGAAGGGGCAGGACCAGGAGCAGCCAGCCCCCTGCGCCACCTGAAGTGAGGCATGACACAGCACCCCAACCCACCCCACCCCAACCTTAGAGCCACCTGGAGTGTACAGTGTGGCATTCTGGCAGCAGTTTAAAGGGCCTGGAGGACACTGCCCCTTTTGTCCTCTCCTCCACCGTTGGCAGACCTGCCCATATGGTTTAGGTTCTGGCAGCTTTGTCTAGCAACTCAATGAGCAGAGCACTAGAGAACATTCAGTGCATGACAGTAGGGTCCAAACAGCTGATTAGTGCTTCCACGATAGGTTCGCTTGGCTACTCAGTAAGGGTATGTCTACACTAGAAAGTTAGTTCGAACTAGCGTTTTGCTAGTTCGAACTAGGCGTTAGTCCTCGTAAAATGAGGTTTACCTAGTTCGAACTAAGGGCTGTGTAGCCCTTTAGTTCGACCTAGTGGGAGGCTAGCCCTCCCCAGGTTTCCCTGGTGGCCCCTCTGGCCAACACCAGGGAAACTCTATGCCCCCCTCCCGGCCCCGGCCCCCTTAAAGGGGCACGGGCTGGCTACGGTGCCCGTGCTAGGTGCAAGCCTGCCAGCACCCAGCTAGCAGACCCTGCACCTGGCACGGCACAGAGCCACCCCCCCGATGCCCCCCAGCCCACCCCCTCTTGCCGGGACCAGGCTGGCGGCTCCCGGGAGCTTGCCCTGGACCGCAAGAGGCGGGCACCTTCCTGGGCTAGTGCGGACATCGTGGACCTCGTCCACGATCTCCGCACTAGGCACAGGAAAGTGGCCGTCTAGGGCCGGAGAGCTGCCAGCCTGGCCACCCAGGACCAGGTGTGAATGAAAATCAAGGGGGTCCACTGAGCCCCCCGACCCTGAGCCCTGAGCTTACAATGGCCGTCCTGGGTCAGACCAAAGGACCATCTAGCCCAGTAGCCTGTCTGCCCACAGCGGCCAACCCTAGGGACCCTGGAGGGGATGGACCGAAGACAATGACCAAGCCATTTGTCTCGTGCCATCCCTCTCCAGCCTTCCACAAACTTTGGGCAGGGACACCACTCCTACCCTCTGGCTAATAGGACTCCATGGACCCAACCTCCATGACTTGATCTCACTTCCCTTTAAACTCTGTTCTAGTTCTAGCCTTCACAGCCTCCTGCAGCAAGGAGTTCCACAGGTTAACTATTTGCTTTGTCAAGAACAACTTTCTCTTACTAGTTTCAAGCCTGCTACCCATTCCTTTCCTTTGGTGTCCTCTAGTCCTTCTTTATGGGAACTCAGGAAGAACTTTTCTGAATGCACCCTCTCCACCCAACCCCTGCTTTTACAGACCTCTATCCTGTCCCCCCTCCGTCTCCTCGTTTCTAAGCTGAACAGTCCCAGTCTCTGTAGCCTCTCTTCATCTGGGACCTGTTCCCAACCCCTGATCATGTTAGTTGCCCTCCCCTCTCCCAGCCTTTCTCTTCCCCTCTCCCACCTCCTTTTCCCAGTCTCCCCCAGTTTTTTTCAATAAAGACAGAGTCAATGTTGGAAGAAACGTTATCTTTATTTTGTACATCAAGAAGAAGGGGGGCTAGGGAAGGGCAAGTGGAAGGAGGTGAGGGAGGAATGGGGAACGATGGGGAGGACTGGGCTGGCTCTGCGGGCTTCTGGGGCTGGAAGCTCTCCTGCAGCCCCCCAATTCCTCCCTCTCCCCAGATGGCAGCCTGCGGCAAGTGCAGCCGGGCTGATGGCCGAGTGGTGTGATGTGCCCCGTGTGGGCACTCAGGGCACTCCAAGCCAGAACTTCTTTGCAAGCGGGGCCCCCCTTAGAACTGTGTGTCCGGGGTGGGGGTCGGGACCCTTTAAGCGCAGCCCTCGGCTAGCCTGAGACAGTATCTCCATGCTCTACGTCCTCCTTTTATGCCCTGCCGGCACTGCTTCCGGCCATCATTAAGCCCTGTTCAGAGTCCACTCAATGTGGACTTACTAGTTCGAACTAGCGTTTTGCTAGTTCGAACTAGGCGTTAGTCCTCGTAAAATGAGGTTTACCTAGTTCGAACTAAGCGCTCCGCTAGTTCGAATTTGAATCGAACTAGCGGAGCGCTTAGTTCGAATTAACTAATTCGAACTAAGTTAGTTCGAACTAGCGCTGTAGTGTAGACGTACCCTAAGTCTCTTTGTTGACAAGCCCTTAGAAATCACATCTCTCATTGTGCACCATCCTGGTAGATGACATCACTGGATATCTCTCGATGACAGTTCTCAGATTTGAATTCCTGGGGATGGAGGCAAGGGTCAAGACTTTTTTTAAAATTGGAGCCTAAAGTCAGATGACTCCTTAATCAGTATTTAGACACAGAAATAAGTAGACACAATTTCTAGAGTGCTAACCTCTAAGTAGCCTCTTGATGACTTCAATGGATGTTCGGCATTTTTGAAAAACAGGCCAACAGCATTCTCTGTGGAGGGCCCTCTAAGATCTGCCATTGTAAATACATTCTGAGCTTTTGACAGGCCCAGATTTTATAAATGACAATAATGTTTTGCAGGGTGCAGTCTATCCATTTCGAAATTGGAGTGATCTTGCCTTTGTACCAGCTCCCTTCACACTCCCAGACAAAAGCAATTCTATGCTTTACCTCGGCATCTCTGAATATTTCTTTAAGTCTGCCTCACTGGCTTATTACAAAGCAGGGGCCTTCAACATCACCACCATTGAAGAGGTGAGTGGAATTTGCAGATTAGGGATTAAAAATATTCCAGGTATGGTCCTTCTGAGAAAGGGATTTTACAAAGTCATTTGCAGTGCAGTTGCAGGCTCAGTGTTGTCCACGCCATGCAATTATCAGAAAATGAGCATGGTCTCTAATGCTAATTCTTTATTTTGCCATTTTATTGTACCTAGATTTCTCAGACCAAATGCAGAAGTGCCACTGAGCAAGGTACAAAATAGGCACCATTTACCTCCAAAAGTGACTTGTCACAGATCTAAACCACATGTTCCTCTGAAAAGGACAAGGGAATTCATGCTGGAGATGCTGCTGCCTCACTGGCAACTTCATGAGGGGCCTTTGCTGACTCAGATGTCACAAAACACAGCAGTTTTGCCTGTAGTTGGAAGGTCAAGCAGAGCTTTTGAGTCCTGTCTCCCATGGATTCCATATACCCCAGAAACAGGAGGCTATGAGCTAGGGATGTATTTAGTTAACCAGTTAAACACAGTATTTAACCAATTAAAGGGGGGAGCAGGCAGGTGGGCAGTGGGCACCGGGCAGGAAGCTGCTCCAGTCCCCCACCTGTTAACCGGAAGTGGTAAGCATCAGACATAAACCTTTCATATCCGTACTAGGAGCCCAAAGTTGAGCAAAATATTGCACCCATATTTAAACAGAAAGTTTTAATCTTTGTTTCTCCTGTATGTGTTTTTTGTGCAAATTAGTAAGAATTTGACTCAGTGCTCTAGGACTTCCTCTAGGATTTTTTCCAAGGTTCAAAGCCATGAAGTTATTAAAACGACAATAGAATAGTTAAAGAAAATCAAGATATAAAGCTCATGCAGGATGGAATAATTTCTGACATTTGTTTTGCAGCTTTCCAGTTATTTTAATGTCACTACAAAGACATTTGGCAACATCATTCCCGAGGTGGGTATCTTAAGAAATCACCAGAGCTAGTCCTGGGATCAATGTCATCAGAGGTTAATCTCCAAAGGTTTGGTGGAGCCACTGTGCATCACTGTGTTGGAGAAGGGGAAAATGTATAGTGCCTGGGAGATAGATCCAGGTCAAGATTCTTGCCTCAAGTGATTCCTGACTGGTCCCACATCATCTATGCGAACACCTTTCTCCTGCCCAAACTTGCATGACTTGAGTCACTTGGTTGCTGGCTTTCCACAGACCAGCAGGTAGGAGGGAGCGTGCATCAGCAGCTGAGTATAATGATCACAGTGAAGAGCTATATATGAATTGCAAGGGGCCGCATGTTAGGAAACAGAGCTGGCAGGTGGACGGGAAGCATGGGGCTTTCAGCCTGTGTAGGGGAAGTGCTAACTTCTAACGTTTGCATGGGGTATATAGAGAAGAAAGGAGAGAGTGTGGTCTCATTTAGTTTTTGTGAGGAAGACGATAGAGTGGAGAGGGCAGCAAGGAGGCAACTTGGCTAATAGATATGCAGCGCACAATATAAATCTACAGTCTCAGCACTCTCAGAGTTAAATGTTCCTGTCTGTTTCCAGTGTACCAAAAATCTTTCCATTATACATCCATTAGTGAAGCTTATAAGCCATGCACTGTAATGGTGATACACTGGCTTCAGCCTCTTTTTTGGCTTGTTTGAGTGCCATGTTCATGTTTCCTTTTCCTGAAACATGCTCACAAACTAGAATTTGTTCCTCTGGAAATTGCTTGTCTAGAAGGGAATGGGAGGGAGGGGGTCTAGTAATAGAAGGGACTTTCCTCCACATTCCTGATACTGCTAGTATCATCAGGTCATCATCGCTGAAGACCATCCTATTCCCTACTGCTGTAAGGACTCTACCATCTTTTTAACACCTTGTGTAAAGTTTGATCTTCGTGAATCCTCTCAAAACAATGATTTTAATGAATGATAACTATTCAGAGTTGTTCTATATAAAAGCTACTTTCAGACTCTTTTTTGGCTTGAAACCCTACAGATTGCCCAGTATTATGTAGAGGCACAGCCCGCAATGCTGAACCTGATGGCTACTGCTGCACCTGTGGTCAGTTTACAGCCCAATGCCTTTTCTCTAGAGATCCATGCCTCCATGGAGGTGCTTGTTGTCCAGCCAAACTCAACCACCCAATCCATATTTACAGTGAACATAGTAAGTACCATGGACCAGAGGATTGCATGTAATCTAGGAGTTAAAATAAATTTGCTCTTCCACATTGCTAGAAGCCAAGGCAATTGAAGGTCCTAGAGGTTAGATTCTAGGTCAGATACAGACTATATTTGTATCTGAATCTAACCTGCAACACATAATGCAACTTCTGACCTTAAATAAGTAGATTCCATTAACTGCAGCCAGGGTTTGAACACGAATGTTTGGGATGCAATTTGGACTGCAGAATATTGCCAGTGGGAGGTGCGTTTTCTTAAAGAGGAATAAAAACCCAGATACATTACTGCCTCAGTTATCTTCAGCTTAGTTCTCTAGAATTCCCTGTTATACAGCAATGGATCATTTCCCCGGACATCTGTTCATTAAATTGAAAATGTCTTTGATTAATTAAAATCTCAGTTCTCCATACTTCAAGTATATTGAAATAAATCAAGGCTGAACTATGCACAAACCCCACATCAGGCAGTCGCACTGCATGAGACAGCTTCAGTATTTATATCAAAGAAGGTGGAACTGTTGCATTTTAAATGATATAAGCAGACTATATTTGTATCTGAATCTAACAGAGGACCCCATTCTGTATGGATATAGTAACTCAAGACTCTTCTCTTCCACAGATTGCAAATACCAATGCCAGTCTGACTATATTTGAACAGAAGTTGGTTGGCTCATTATGTCTGAACAGGTAAACAAAGGACAGCTTGACCTGAGAGAATTCAGGAAGTAACATTAGTGATCCCAGCATTAGGACACAACAACGTTTTATTGTGACAGCCTACCTGTGCAGTTAGTTCAGCATGAGAAAAAGGCAGTCAGTGGAATGTACCTTCTTTCTCACAAGGATAGGGAATGGAGATGCTTTTGGCTACATTGCCCAAATCCTGTGGATGAAAAAACCCCATATTTTGGACCCACTGAATCTTCTGCTGTTGCTTCATTCTAAGCCTTTCTGTAGGTGCCTTAGCAAAGGTAAATGTGCTGGATTTGATCTCTAAAGTCTTTGGCCCAGATTCTCTCCTGTGCTTAGATTAGCTCATCACAAGAGAACGACAGGGGCCAAAGGGGAACTTATTAGGATTCCCCGATTGGCTGAGTCATTTGTACCAGCCCCAGAATAGGTTAGATCAGCCATGGCATTGCTTTAATTTACGCTAGCTGTCAACAGCCTCCAAGGGACTCTCTGCCAGCTGAAAACAGTTGATACATGCTGTGCCCCAGTCACACATTTTCCCCACTCCTGACATACCCTATCTGTCAGGGCTGGATAGAAGGGTGGCACCAGGGGCCAATTATGATGATTCTGCATCATTGAAAGCTCCCCTACATGGTGGGGGAATTCTCAACTGGTGCTTTCCAGCCCTTTAGTGCAACCAGAGCAGAGCAAAGAGTCCAGAACATAGGAAAGAATTTGAGCCAGTATAGATAGATGCTACAGTAATGATTCCAGGCATTGGCATTGTGACTCCCAGCTGGTCAGAAAAGTGTAATCTGAGCTCATGACATGTTCTATGGAATTTAAGTTTTCATTAAAAAATAGAACCCAGGTGTTCAAATATGGATTTTTAAAGCATGGGTGATGATCAGGCCCTCCCGCCTGATAGAATCAGACTTTTGAATGCCAACCACCCATTGGATTATTTGGTAGGGTTATAGGTACTCAAGCTCACAAAAACCATGTCTAGGAAGACGGTTACAAGTAAGAAGAATTAGGTATGTCCAGATTGCAGAGGCTCTCGGGAGGAAGCTCCCAAGGAGAGTAGTGAGGTGTCAGGAACCTAAACAAGGTATGGCTAGGAAGTCCTCAGAATTCTTTACAGAGAAAAAAGGTTACAGGGGGCAAACCTCAGAAAGCTTGCACACTGAATGGAACTTCTGAATGTTTTGCAGATAAGCCAGCACCATCAGTAACACTCTTCAAGTGAAATTTTACCTTCTAGCTCCTGTAGCAAATTTCAGTCGATCTGAGAGCAAGGGATCTTTGGTCCTTGACCTGGTGAAGTTAATGTATGAATCAGTGAGATGTACATAATGAAACACAGAAGTTGTCTGCTCATAATCCTGGATAAACTTATCCCAGGCCACCTGTTTGTGTATATTCCAATACAGTGCCCTACAGAAGCATTCCTGTTTTCTGTGGAAGGCAGCATGTAGGATGCCCTGCCATAGAGGAATGTCTCATCATGGGCATATCATAAGACCTGACATCACTATGACTAAAACAAAGTGCCTTCATCCTTTATAATGACTCTTCTTTTACTATTTTCCCTTCAGATTCCAGCTCTTCCTGGCTGACTCCAGTGTTGGGTTCTTTGAGGTAGGTTGATAGTTTTGGTATCTAGGAAACAAGAATCTCAGGGAAAATGTCAGTCTGAAGGGTAAGGAGCAGAATTTCCTTACATGCGAAAACTAAATCATTAGACTTTGTCCTTCCTTGGATGGTGAGAGAGAGACTGACTGACTCTTTAGTGCTCCTAAAAATGAAATGCGTTCTAGTCTCTCATTCGTGTATAATGTTTCATGAGAGAGGCACTAAAATCATGACCGTGAAGTGTACAACAGTGAACTGAAATGCAGCAGAAGGAGGAAAGACATGTTGTAGGTTAGAACATGCACTCTAGAATGGCAGAAAGGCCCTTGGTGGTGCGTTGGGACACAGCATATGTCCCCAGTGGAAGCCAACAATACTAATCGCAAATGCAAAAATCCTGCCTCCCATAGAGAACAGTTTCATCCTAAAGACAATTGATCAGCTCTAGGAAGCTGATCAGAGGAGAATTAAAATAATCTTGCAAGTAAATGAAACTGATTAAATGAAAATATTGCACACGTGGTAATGAGATACAGATTCTCATGTTCGGAGACATCCGTAAGCCTCAAGAACCAAAGATCATTGTCACTTGGGGCTTTTGTCTATACAAATGAAGGTCTGCTTCTGTGAGCAGGACTCTTAAAATTCCATCCAAGATTTAGTGTGGAGCAGCTTCATAGATACTAGGAAGTGGTTTCTAACTCCATTTTCTCTCCCATGGCAGGTCTCACTTTTAGAGAATTTCCTTTCTTATGTTTTGCGGAATGGAGTAATCCCAGCGGCCAATGGTAAGGATAGCCAGTTCTTTTTAATGGCCCTTATCTCTGTTAACATAACTGTAACCAGCATGTAAAGTGATAAATGGGGGAGGCCAGTCACCAGCCCCATATCTTCCACCCATGGCCCCACCCTGTATATGCCCCCTGCTGGAGCAGAGAGCCCCCCCTTCCACGGCTAATCCCCCTGCCATGGAGCACCAAGAAGTTCAGGCACCAGTAGTCTCTCAAATCCAGAGCTCTGAGATGGTGTGTGGCACGCAGCCTGGGTGTCCCAATCCCAGCCCAGCTGAGGCCAGCACTGGGGGACTGGAGGAGCTGCACTCAGAGTAAGAGGGAGAGTGTGAGCTGAACCATCCTCAACTGTTTAGGGAGGCACAACCTCCTCCAACCCACAGAATCACTTCCCATGGTTACCATGGCTTCAGGAACAGGTAATGCGATATGGGGCTTTTCACCACTATGAACCATTTCACATCAACTCTGATGAGAAATGAAAAGATGTCATTACAATCAGGTGGTACCCCCAACTCATTTCACATAGGCTATCAGCCAGTTTCTAGGGGATAAGTAAATACGTTCTCAAACCACCACTATAATTAGAACAAATTTGGAGTTGTATCAGAGAAGCCAGGGACTGATTGGATATAGAAAGTGAGTTATAGGGCACTGGACTGGCATGTAGGAAACCTGAATTCTATCCTAGCTCTGCCACTGCCCTGCTTGGTGATGTTCGGTAAATCACTCCCACCCACACCCCCGTGCCTCAGTTTTCCCACTTGTGAAATGAGGGTATATATTGACTTCATTGGTAAAGTGCCTTGAGTGCTATGGATGAAAAATGCTATATAAGAGTAAATTGTTATTATGCTGAGAGGTACAGATGACTGGATAACAATCTCTCTTAGACTGAGTGTGAATGCATCCTTCAAGTAATGTATCTGCAGGATGAGTTCATCACAAACTCATCCCCTAAAACAAAAGGGATTGTGAATCAGGATTAGGAGAGCTAATGTACTGACCACATCCAGAAAAATGCTGAGGCAATGGGAGAGCATTCAGAAGAGAACTAATGGAGGATAGGCCCATCAATGGCTATTAGCCAAGATGGGCAGGAATAGTACTCCTAGCCTCTCTTTGCCAGAAACTGGGAATGGGTGAGAACAGATAGATCACTTGTTTTATTCATTCCCTCTGGAATACCTGGTATTGGCCACTGTCAGAAAACAGGCTACTGCCCATGATGGGTCTTTGGATTGACCCAGTAAGGTCATTCTTATGTTCTTGACCTCTCTTCCACCATTTGTAAATGGGGGTTATACTCACTACCCAAGAGTGCTGTGAGGGATTAATTCATTCATGGTTGTAAACACCTTGAGATCCTGGGGAAGGTGCTATAGCAATGCAAGTTATACTTAATTATAAAAATTATACACATTTTGTCTGTCTTTTTATAGTAATACTGAAGAAGGGATTCCCTCTTCCTAACCTGGACCATATTACCCTCCTCAGACCTGTTATTAAAATTAATGAGGTGAGAAACTGTGTTTCTTCTTTAAAAAAAGTTACTCTTTTGCTGGATCTTCAAATGCTTAGTATAATATGAGAAATTTCATACCAGTAAAAGTATTTCTTTAAGAACAAATTCCTCTGTCTTTGAGGAAAAAATAAAACTGAACTATATGTGCTGATATTCAGTGGCCAAATGCACTCAGTGGGTCACATTTAACTGTGGTGCAACTCAAAGTCAAAATTGCCTTTTATGCGTGGCCTAAATTTGTCCCCCCAAGTTAAATTCAAGTCTCCATTTTCTCAGTGCAATCCCATTGAGTTCAATAGGGTTGCTCAAACATAAATGAAAACAGAATTTGGCCTTCCTTGTGTAGTATGAATAACTGGAGCTTTACATATACAATAATAATAAAGATGCAAGGCATTTCCTGAGGATTAATATGTTCTTGAGGGTATGTGTTCCCGCTGGTCATAGATCTCTCAAATATAACCTATGCCTCAATTATTATTGCTGATATAATTAATGCAAAAACAGAGGGCGATATTCTGCTACCAACACTTGCCGAAGTCGTATGTTGAAGCAGCACAAGAATTTAGCCCTTAATTTGGGTGGACAGGACATTGCTAGAAAACGAATAAACAGAAATCAATAATAAATTAATTTGTAGACAATTAAGTAGTCCATTGGTTTGCTTCAATCATTCCCAACTTTTCAGTCACTTTATATTGTCCAAACATTGTGTACAGTTCTTTGATTGGGGCTGAAGCACCACTCTGAAAAGGGAATGTGAAAAGATTTAAACCACTGTTTACTCCACAAACCTGGGACAACTTTGCGTCAGGCCAGTCCCCTGATGAAAGTTGCACCAACCTGAAGGCTACTGTACCTTGCACGGATTACCAACAGGAGGGCCAACACAGCAGCCACAATATAGTTGTACTAGGAGTGAGGAAGTGGCACTGGAGCGTCACTACACAATATGTACATCAATGGAGGTTCTCTGTGAGTAATACTCCCAAGACTTGCTACATGAGTTTTAGGTGCAGCATTCTGTTGACACTGTGGTGCAAAGCAGCAGAATCCCAAGGAATTTATGGGTCAGTGTGTAGAAATCTGTCCCTGTGTGAACTTCTTCAGGTTGCTATTATTAAGTTGCAGTTCTCTTCAGTGAAGATTCCCACTCTTGATCTCCAGGACAGAATTAAAACAAAAAATTCAGACTTAACTATCAATTTTAAGGCACTTTTATGAATATTCTTCTCTCCTCAGGGTTACCTGCTCATTTCCACTGATATTGACTACAACCTCTAAGGAAGAGAGCATATTTGAATGATCAGGAAGTTCCCAACCAACAACACGATCCTGAAGACTGAACCACTCTGTCCCTTTGCTTTTCAACTTAAAAAAAAAAGAGCAAAGTTTTTAAATTTATGCTATGATTTTGGTAAAGAGGGACTATTTATAACATGTATCCAACAGAGAATCATGTAAAAACATATTACATATTTGGTAGGGGAAGTATTTGTCATTCAGGAGTTTGCAGGTATTGCCAAAGCTACTAGTTTTAAAGGTTAAAGTATATCTCTGTTTAAGTAAAGCCTTTTTATACACTTCATAGAGGGCACAATACTCTTTTGAGAAAAGGAAGGATGTATGCCAGCAAACTGCAAACACAGCTGAGGGCAGCTGCTCTTGTAATGGTTTTGCTGTAGCATAAACTTATTTTTCTGTTTCCAACTGACTGCATCTGTTGTGTTTGAATATGAAGTGGGAAGTATCAAGTGCTTCGATCTGAAAACTCTCTTGGTGCCTATGAGGACTAAAAGTTCTTTGTGAAAGGATTTCATCAGAGTTTGATGGAAGGAACAAAGTGCCCTGGCACTCCTTAACGGTATTTCAAGATGGGGACTATCCTGATGCCTTTGTTAGTCTAAGAGGGTACTCTAGAACAGTGTTTCTCAACTAGTAGTATGAGTACCTTTAGGGGTACTTGAGAGAAGTCTGGGAGATATGTCAACACAACTGAAATTTGGAGAAAACTGAATTTTTGTTTTAAGTTTTACAGCGCTTTATTATTTTTGTACTTTTTACACCCAAAAATTTCATCATCCGCCCAGCTATGATTAAGTTGTTTTAACAAATGTCTTGTAACTGTAGAAAAAATTGTGTATGTCTGAAAACTGTAGGTACTGGGGATACTTATAATTTTTTTTTTCAGAAAGGGGGTTCTTTAGGAAAAAAGTTAAGAAACACTGCTCTAGAACTTAGAGCTGAAAAGGACTCATTAATCTACTTCATGCCCCTAATGGTACAGATTTATTCTTTAATACAGAATTATTCTTTAGTAATTATTATTTTGTTAGTACTGTAACCGTAAGTTTTACATGTGCCAAGCTGTGCAGCTACAATAAACTTTTCTTGAGAAACTACTCCACAGTATCTCAAGAGTGAGGTAATTTTTTAATGACTCATTCAATTACTCCTAATGATACCCACCTTCTCATTCCTTCTTAAATAGTTCCTAGTGTCCCCCTTTCACTGTTCAGCTTGCAGTGACAAAAAGGGTCTATTGAAAGGGGAGAGAATAAAAACTTGACAATAAAAAAAAGTATTTGAGAAATGAAACATATGTTTTCATTTCCTTTCAAAAGTTCCTAATTCCAAAAAAGGCAAACTTTCAGGCTACGTCTACACTGGCATGATTTTCCGAAAATGCTTTTAACGGAAAAGTTTTCCGTTAAAAGCATTTTCAGAAAAATCGCGTCTAGATTGGCAAGATGCTTTTCCGCAAAAGCACTTTTTGCGGAAAAGCGTCCATGGCCAATCTAGACGCGGTTTTCTGCAAAAAAGCCCCAATCGCCATTTCCTGAACGAGAGCAGCATAGTATTTCCGGAAAAGCACTGATGATTTTACATGAGATCGTCAGTGCTTTTCCGGAAATTCAAGCGGCCAGTGTAGACAGTGAGGGGGAAATGTCGCTCCCCTGGGGTACAGAGCCCCCAGAAGGGTCCGAGGCCGGAGGTGAAATCAGTGAGGCAGGAGAGAAACCTAGAAGGGAAAACTTTATGATGCATGCATGCAGGCTGTCACTTCCAAGAGTGAAGCAGCCGCCCTGACAGACAGATTCAGGTATTCTATATACAGAATGCTTAGACAGTTCAGTTGTGGATTGTTCTTCTTTAACATATCAAAGTCTTAGCAGAAGTACTCTGAGACTTCTGTTTACCCCAGGAGTGCTAAAAGTAAGTTTTTACAGTACACAAAGCCACATAAGAACTTGAGTGGAGGAGTCTACAAGGCAAACTGTGACAAAAATAAGGGTTTACATAACAAATTGTAACAGACTAGAAGTATCCATAAATTTAAGATAGTTATTTGTAAGGGTCTTTGATTAAAGCTAATTTAATTTCTCTCTGTTACAGGGAGAAAGGCCTGAAAAACTTTTTAACCCTTACAGCAGTTTTCTTTTAGAGAGTTTTGATTTCTGCACAGTCCCCCTTAGACACAATTGGAGTTATTTGATTTTCCCCACA